CCCATCCTTAGGGGCTTTCCAAAAGTCACCTCCTTAGCATAAACTCAGATGTGGTTGAAAAGTGCTTGTCGTGAACAACAAAAGATGCTCCTTTCACCTTTATCACTCTTGTGCTGTTGCAGGATCCAGGGACCAAACCAAATATTATAACAAAAGATGCTACTATGGCTCCTATCACTTAAGAAATTACAAGGGTTTTAGGAGTTGTAACCAGGAGCTGGGGACAAAGATCAAAATGTATATTTCTTATATCACATCAGGACATTAATTAGTCCACGTTTTTCTAGTGGTTGGGGCTACTTTTTACTAAAAGGCCATTCCCTATTCCCTGCTGGGTAGGCCCAGCCCAGTCTCCATTTAGCACGCCCTTAGAAGGGTAAAGCTGGTCTGCTTTGCAGACCTAATCATCTCTCTTTTGGTAGGCATGCCCAGGCATACTGGTCCCCAAATTCACAGGGGTAAAGGAGGAACAGGGAATTAGGAAGCTTCACTTCAACCTTAAACGTATGCCATGTGATTCGACTCCATCTTTTTTGGCAGAGCTCAGCTCTAGAAGTTATTGGCTGCTACCTCAGCTATGAATAAAATGATCTTTTGTTTTCTGTTCTAATTTCTTTCTTGTGTATGTGAACCAAAATAAAATTTTAAGCCCCCTAGCTAACTGAATGGACCCCCTCTTGGCCAAGAGGATTCTAGAAAAGCCTAAAGCTGAGTTGCCAGCCATGAGAAAGGAGGTCAGACACACCTCATCATGTCCCTCTCCCTTTTTGGAGATTTCCTTTGTAACAATGAGATGGTAAATCATTAACCGCCCTAAGGCTGTACAAGACAATGCTTAAACCACACCGGCAGGCCATCAATTTACTCAACAGATCACTTGAGTTTCAGTAAATGTCCAGTGGCTTGACTCTGATTAACAGATATCCGTAAGTTAAAACATCCCAAGCATTTAGACTAAGCTTCATTTCTTTAATCGGTTATAAATTAAAGAATCTTTAAACCCACCTATAACCTATACCCACACCCCTTTTGAAATGTCCTACCTTTTCGGGCCAAACCAATGTACAGCCCTCCATGTTATTGACTTAGGGTCTTAGGTGTAATTCCTGTCTCCATGAATGTATAAAACCAAACTGTACCCCAGCTACCGAGGGCACATTTTCTCAGGACCTCTTGTGGCCATGCATTCTGGGCTGGTCATATACACAGGGTCAGAATAAACCTCTTTATTTTACAAAGTTTGGGTCTTTTTCCATTAATGCATATAATTCCCTTGGGCACCCTAAGGAGAGGAGAGATGATTAGCAGAACAGGCTTTGGCTATTTCTTGTCTTCAATTGTAGTCAGACTGTATTTTTGATCACAATTTGTTACAAATTTTTGCTGCCCTTCCCAGGGAAGAATTATACTTCCCTACCCCATTGACATCAGTTTGGTCAGGTGAATTTTTCTGGCCAAGAAAATCTGAGTAGATCTAACATGTGGAAGTCCCAAGCAGAAAAGTATTAAGAGCCAGTGTGTGTTCACCATAATCACTTTTCTTCTTCCATGACAGACCAACATTGTTCTGGATAAAGATTGTTCTATCAGCCTGGGTCCTGACATGAAGACAACCTAGAGGCTAACCAAGTTGTCCTGCCATGGACATGTGTGATATTCTGAGAAGTAAGACTTTGTTGTTGTAAGCTACCTTGGGATCACTTGTTACCACAGCCTAACCTAGCTTACCCTGACCGATACATTTACCATATTGCCTTCTGTATCAAACACCATTGTTTGCTCTCCTAACATCTACTCTCCTTTCATTCCTCCTACGATAACCCCAATTTTGCCTAGGTATTCACCCACCTCTATGTGGCCGTGTGTTTTGGGGAGCGAAGTACAATTCCCAGCCACAGCGGATTATTTATAATTCACTTAAGCCATTCATGGTAGTTTCCTTCTCTTTGCTAGTAATGGGCTTAGATGTGGGCATATGAGACAAGGAAGTCTGCTGGAGTACTTCTCTCAGAAAGGTTTTCCTTGCTTATGAAAAGAGGAACATGGGAAGAAGCAGTCTCTCTACTTCTGCTAACACCGTGTGTGTGCATGTGTCAGCTGGAATTATGGCAGCCATTTGTGTAGCTGTGAGGGGCACTAGCCTAAGGATGTCAGAATGAAAAGATGGAATGAATCTGGGTCCTTGATAATGTCATTGAGCTGTTAAAAAAAAACTAACTCTAGAGTTAACCTACTCCTAGTTTTCTTGTTACATGAGATAATACATTTTCCTTTTTGTTTTTAAGATAGTTGAATCTGGAATGAAGGGGAAAAGAATGAACTTAGCTTTAGGGACACAGGTGAAGGCAGGACAGCATCCTTTTATATATATACATATATAAAAAATATATAATGCTGAAGCTCAGGAGACATTAGGGTTAAATTTGAATTTGGGAGTCATCTATAGAGAAATACCACATAAAGTAATATATCTTAGAAAATAGTCCTACACCTGTGGAAGCTACCTCTGTGCTTGAGGAATTTGGGTGATATAAGAAAACATGACACCTATACAAGTGTAGTCACTTCCTAACTGGATAGGCTACTGTCCCAGGTCCTCAATTATGACCCATCCTAGAAAAGGAGAGATCACAGAGGTGGTAGCAACCTCCTGGTGAGGGAGAGCAAAGACAGTGAGGAAGGGAGTGACTACAACGTCTCGATCCTCAGACCCTCCTCTCCTCAAGCCTGGGTTTTGTGGACCTTAGTAGCCACTTGCAATTGACTTAAACATTCTAGTTTAGCATAGTTGGCTTTGAAACTGGGCTATAAGCAATCTCAAATTCACTGACTCATATATCTTTTAGTAAATTATTGTTCCAGAAAGCCATGGTTCTAATCATCCTGTAGACATCCAATGGATGATACCGTAGGAGACCTGTAGGAAGCATCAAGTTCAACACATAATATGGGCTATCAAGGAAATGGCCAATGTAGAAGACAGAGCTTCCAATGCCCAAGTTGATTGGTGGTCGGAAGTGTTAAACAAAAATTATGGGAGGTGAGCTGGGCACATTGGCTTGTTCCTGTAATCCCAGTTCTCAGGAGGCTGAGGAAGGAGGATGCTTTAGTCCAGGAGTTTGAGACCAGCCTGGGCAACATAGAGAGACCCCATCTCTAAAAAAATAAAAAAATTAACTAGGCATGGTAACGTGTGGCTGCAGTGAGCTATAATTGTGCCACTATACTCCAGCCTGTGTGACAGAGATCCCCGTCTCTGGAAAAAAAAAAAAAAATTATGGGAGGCCATTGTTTCAGATTGAGCTCTTGCACTAGGCCACAACAGATTAGACTAAACCAAAATGGAGTCACACCTGCTAAATGCCACGTTGGCTAAATGCCACATAATCAAACTGAAACTTTAAGGAACAAGATATATCCCAAAACAGACCAGTTTTTCCTGAAAACAGGCGATTCCAGTCTACCTGAGTCAGCATAGTAAGGGAGTTCCCTCTGCTTTAACCCTTACCAAAATTGTAAGCTGAAGTACCTGGTGTTAACCAACCAGCTTTCTTCCTATTCTGCTTTCTTACAGAACATCTTACAAAACCCATTGTTCTGCTGTGACCTAGTGGGAGCTCTCATTCTATTTTGTAGAATGGAGACTGCCCTGATTCACGAATCTTGAATAAACCCAATTAGATCTATAGCTACATTTGTTGTAATTTTGTCTTTTGTCAGAAGATCCTTTTGAAAGTTACTAATCCATAGGGCACTAGGTTACTGTTACTTTAAGAAAATACATTCCTGGGGTTGGGGGAAGGAGATATTTTGCTACACAAAAGGATTTACTTAAGATTGCCTGAAAAAGAATTTTTGAAATTCAGTTTATACAGAACTTTTCTAAAGACACATCTCAGTGAGTAAATGCACACACTTGCATGATATTTAGAGTGAAATCTATACCTTCCCTGAGACATCTTACCCCATTTCTAAGTTGTCATTGCTGGGCCTACCTTGAACTACTCGTGTTTCCTTAAGCCAAAAAAAAAAAAAGAGACATATTTTAATGAGCTGGAAGAGCAAATGCAATCTCCAAAGATGGCTAACTTCAATCCTGCAGTTATTTAGAAAGGAAAATCTGGTTTCAAATACTGCTGTTTGCAGGCAAGATTCCTAATTGGCTAGGACCAAGGACAGTGTTTAAAGATGACTCAGTTGTATGGCCTGGGGAGAGTGGGAGGGGGAAGGGAGACCAGCCAGTGGTCCTATTAACTAAAGTGGGCCTTAGATCCGTTTTTAATGACTTCAAGGTTGTGAAGGTCCAGAACTGCTGCAACCTAGGAGGGGTGTCCAGGGTAAGTAAACCTGAGCCCCTGAGAAATGCACCTTTAAATGATCTGAATGGGAGGAGGCTAAAACTCAACTTCCCCCCACCTCTCTCTCCCAGGCTTCACGCCAGGATTTGGGGATAGAAATCTCTCTCCTTCCAAGCGTTTAGAGTTCAGAGCGGAGCCCAGCCGTGTGTCCTTCGCCAGGCCCCGGAATCTCCTTTAGGACGTCCCCGAGACCCTGCCCGGGGCTCAGAGGCAGCCGTCTGCGACCCCAGCCCGCGAGCGCCCCGGCGAGCCTTTCAGCGCATCGGCTGCCCACTGCGCATCCTTAGTCGGTCAGCGCCGACACCCTCCGAGCCCCACCGGGCCGCCGCCCCACCCCAGCTGGCAGCGCCACGCCCACTGGGGGGGTCCGGGCAGGCCAGGGGTGCCCTCCCTCAGCCTCGCCATCGCCGGCCAGCGGCTCCCGTACTCCCCGGGACCCCGAGCCCCGCCCGGATCCCCTCCCCCGGCAGCCGCAGGCCCCCGGCCCGCCGCCCCTCCCGGGCGCCGCCCGCCGGGGCCGCCTCTGCAGCTGGCCGTGCCGCCGGCCCGCGCCCGCCGCCGCGCTCTGATTGGCTGGCCGCGGCCGGCGGCGGCGCTGAGTGGCCGGGAGGATTCGCTGGGTCAGGGCTGCAGAGGCGCTGGCGCACCGGCGGGAGCGGAGCCGCGGCGCGCTCGCCGGGGACGCCGGCCGCCCGCCCGCCCTTGTGAGCGAGCGGCCCCGGGCGTCGAGGGGTCCGCGCCGCTCAGGGCGCCGCCGCCCTGGCCGCCATGTGCTCCCAGCTCTGGTTCCTGACGGACCGGCGCATCCGCGAGGACTACCCGCAGGTGCAGATCCTGCGCGCCCTCCGGCAGCGCTGCTCCGAGCAGGACGTGCGCTTCCGGGCGGTGCTCATGGACCAGATCGCCGTCACCATCGTTGGCGGCCACCTCGGTGAGCGAGGCGGGCCCCGGGAGGGCGAGGGGCGCGCCGGGGTCCCCGACAGCCGGCCGGTGTGCGCGCTCACCCGGGCCTCCCCAAGACGAGTCTGTTTCGGGCCCCACAAACCAGCCGCTCTTCCCCTGCGAGACGTCTTGGGGTTGGAGAAAACCCCTAACCTTGATAGCTTCTTTGAACCACCATCTGCCCTGAGGCCAGGATTCGAGAACGCGATTTAATTTACTTCGGGGACTTTGTTTTGTGAGGAACCCAAATTCACCTGGAGAAAAATCAAGCTGCTAAACTCTAAATTTGCAAATTCTGCTTGCACCGATACCCTGTCAGTTTAGACTCTGAGATTTCTAGAAACCCACACTAAATTTACACAATTGCGATTAAGATGAATGTTTTAGAAAGTTTCCTAGGAGTATGTAAGCATCAGCAATGCACTGTATAGAATATTATTCTCCAACAAGGAATCTACGTATGGGGGAAATCTGAGAAAGATTAGAGTCGCCTCTTGAGTGTAAAGTGGGAGAGTAAACCTTTGATAGGTTTCTTTAACTCATCCTCCTCCCTAGAAGTGTCAAATTCTGATTCAAGAAAAGCCAGGATTTCAGGTACAGACCATTCTGGCCTCGTTGAGCACTACTGCTGTGTCCAAGAGACTTTCTTGGGTAAGCCATGGTTATCATCTGTGACCCTGACCGCAAAGGTTAAGTGTGTTTTTAGATATTCCTAATTATCCTTAATACAAGCTCTCTGTGATTTAGGAATCCATCATTTATTAGTCTTCTGCTGGCTTGCTGTTTGAGTGTCTCCAGTGCTTCACTTGAGATATCCAGCCATTTCAGGGGGTCCAGGACTCAAAGGGGGTTGGGGCCCAGTTCAGGGTGCTTCTTGGGATACTATTCATATTATTTTAATTCTACCTAGTTAAATAGGCTCATAATTTGCTACTTTTCTTTGGCGGGGAAAGGAATTCCAAATTCTGAACAGACTACTTACACGTGAGATTTTGAATATGACCTGTTTCTAAATGGAATATATTTGTTATAGATCTTGCATCCATAAGTTTAAGGCCCTCATATGTAATTTCAGATTGTATACTCTATTGAAGAAATATACTACAAACATTAGGTCCCTTAAATTTGAACTAAAACAGTGTCTTTCAGACATAAAGGGTACCCTCTCTCCTTGATTTGTTAAAACACTTAACAGTTAGTTAATGCAGAACTAGATTCCTGAACAGGGAATCTGCAGACCCGTAGTCTTGTGACAGCTTTGCTATTTACAAGTATCTCGGCTTTGCTTTGGGTAAGTCACTTCATGTCTTTGAATCTTAAGTTTCTCATTTATAAAACTAAAGGTTAAAGTTCCTTAACCACCTTTAAATTTCTCTGTTTCAGTACCATATATAAATTGGATAATCTGTTGTATTTTACTGATCTAGATTAAGTACTTAATATATACATCTTTTCATCCCTGGGATGAATTTTTTTGCTTATTTATTTATTTAACAGTTAGTAAAGATGTCTTTTTAGAGATATAGTGACCGAAATTCCACATCATGTTCCTAGTGTAGACCCATCACAAATTCTGTAAAAAAAGTAGGAAAATACACTCTTTATCTAAAACATATTTATGTAATTTTTTTATTATTTATTTATTTAGAGACACACTCTCTCCTCCAGGCTGAGTGTAGTGACACAATCATAGCTCACTGCAGCCTCGAATTCCTGGCCTTAAGGACAATCCTCCATCCTCAGCCTCCCCAGTAGGTGGGACTACAGGCATGCACCACCATGCACGCCTAATTAAAAAGAAAAAAAGGTTTTTTTTGTAGCGACAGGGTCTTACTACGTTGCCCAGGCTGGTCTCAAACTATTGGCTTCAAGTGAGCCTCCTGCCTTGGCCTCCCAAAGGGCTGGGATTACAGGCATGAGCCACCTGACTCAGCTCCATTTTCAAGAGTCAGTCCTAGGAAAAGAGAAAATTAAATTTTAATGCTACAGGAAACATTTAAACCCTTTTGTTTAATGTCTTAAATTGTAATGGAATTCATGTGAAAGTACCTCAACCTATTCAGAAACCAGGAGTTACTTCTGTTTAACTATAAGAAAATCTACACAGCTATTTGCCTGGTTGCTGGAGAAGTTGAAGACAGATATTTTTTGATGCAGTTTTAATTTTTTGTTAATTTAGAGGTAGCCACACACAAATCACAACACACAGAACAAACCTATTAGATCACCATTTATGTTGTCCAAAGCTGTCAAAATATTTTTTTTTTGGTGTAAGTAGATTAATTAAAGCACAAGAAAATGAGTCCCATGAGAAGAGTGACCTCGTTTGCTTTGTTTAGTGCTGTAATAGTAGAATAGTGTCTTGCACATAGCACTCAATAAATATTTTTGAATGAATAAAGAAATGAGCTCTATTTCCCAGTTTCTTCTATAGTCAAACTATAGAAAACTCTTGGCAATTTGCTGAGCCCAGCTCATCTTCTGAAAATAATTCCAGAATTCACTTGCTTTGAAATACAGAAACATGTAGTTACAATGAATGATATTGGTGTTATTTCCCATTTGAAAATTAGACAATGTGACAGCTGGAAAGCACTTTGAGATCATCCGTTCTAACTCCTTCATCTTACAAAGAAGAACCTGAGGCTCAAAGAGATGAAGTGACTTCCTCAACGCCATCCGGCTGGTTAGCAGCAAACCCACAGTAAAAAAAACCTGATCTCCTAATTCCCCGCCCAGTGATAATGGAATAAGTCTGCTTTAGGACATCTGCAACCTATAGTTCATTTCTCAATAGATGTGGAATTGGACTGAATTGAATTAAGTTGAAGCTAGACAGTGACTTTGCAAAGTAATTTTATAGTTTAGGAAATTCAGGTACCACCTTTACAAAGCCTTGGTGTCTTCGCTCCTTTCCATTGCTTCTTTAGGTTAGCGTAGGGAGATGATGAAGGAGCTGATTTGGTGCAGTGCCTTGGCCAGTTGCTTAAATTCATTTCTGAGCTTTTCTCTCTGGAGGCTAGTCAGAGCCCAAAGGCAGGGATTAGAATTTCAGGTTCTATCTGGACATAGGATTCGACAAGAGATTAAAAGTTTTGAATTTAAAGATTCCAATGATTGTATTTTAAACAAGATTATACATGTAAACAGAAAATGCTATATACATGCAAGGTTTCATGAATATTATTTTTAATCTAGTTATCTACCCTATCCAGCATAGATTTGGATGGGGAGACTACTAGGGAGAGGGGAGTGACCTTCAGGTGACTGAAGCAAGCCTGAAGAAAACATCCTTCCCCTTCACTTTTTATGAAAATCATATCCATCTCCATTTCTTTTTTAGAAACTGCAAGTTATTCATTCATTCCACAAATACTTATTAATTATTCTTAACCCTAGGGATAAAGTGGTTAATGCGATACCAAAATGTACATAGTCATAGCAAAGTATATATGTTACTTACGATGTGCCAGGCATAGGTTTAGGTCTTTTTACATATTAGCTCTTATAAATGCCAACAAGAGTATTTGGGCCCATAGTCTTGGCTGGGAGTTAGGACGAATAGTCAATAATTCTGGTCTAAATACTTTGTCTCCTCTCTTCTACTCTACTGTGTCTATTGGTCTACACTGATTTCACCTAGCCCCTCTGTGACTTCAGGCCTTGCACTAAAGTTCCTTCTGCCTGAGGTGCCCATCTGGCCCCTCCCACATGGTGAACTTTTATTCATCCTTCAAATCCAGTATAAGTCATTCATCTCTATGGAATCTGTCTTGAGCTCCCTTTCCTGTCCCCAAGCAGTTGCTCTCTTCCATCTGCTGCCAAATAGCATTGTCCATACTTTTTAAAATAGCACTCATCATATTTGATTATAATTTATCTGTAAGGTTTATCTCCCCTCTCCCCCTGAATACCTGGGAATTCCTCAAATGTATGCCCCATAACTGGTACATAGTAGGACTTCAGCTAATGTTAGTTGGATGTGCTCACTGTGGAAGCACATATACTAAAATTGGAACAGTACAGAGAAGATTAGCATGGCCTCTGCACAAGGATGACATGCAAATTCGTGAAGCATTCTATATTTTTTAAAAGGATAAAACATTGTAAAAACAATGTTAGTTGGATGATTGAGTAAAGTGCCTCAAAGGCTAATTTGAAGTATGTGAGACTATTACTGTAATTAGCTTCTGGGTTTGGGAGATCATAATTGGATGTGGAAATGTTTTTGTGATGAGCCATTATATGAGGACAGATTCACTAGTAAGAACTGGGTTCTTTGACCACCTGCAGGTCTATATGATTAGCTGGCTCAAGAAATAAATATAGTTGCAAACTCAGGGACAGATACCAAAACAGATAAAATAAGTCTGACCTGGAAATGAGGTTATGTTACAGTTTGTCTCTTAGGAGCAGGATGATTCAGCATTCCTTCCCTTACTTTCAGAGTTAAAACCTTGTTGGCTATATGGCAATTTCTAGGTCAGGTTCTTTAAATCATGATGTTCTGGGATCCTTTCACTTGGGTCTTTGTAGTGATCATGTGAGTCAGATTTAAAAGGGTGGGGAGGGGGATCCTAACTAAATTTGTATAAGGAAATAGTAGACTGCAGAAGGCAACAGAAGGCTCAAAGAGAAAGAATGGACTCCTTATCACTGTGCAAGAAGACTCTAGCAGGAAAGGGTACCATGCTAACTTTCATGAAGAGAGCTTGATCTTTAACCCCAGTTCCTGCTAAAGGCTCATGCCTGACACTTTGTTATCTGAATGATGCCACTATACAACACTAGTAGAAATAAAAGTCAGAGAATGCATGTGGGAGTGCCTACCATATGATATTTCCAAATTGTAAGTGCTGCATGGTTCTGCTTTACCCCACAGGTCCACATTTATATCCGTGGGCTGACCTCAGGGGCTGAGGCTGGATTTCGATGTTTAGTTTATGTTTCTAACAGTCGTGTTTAGGGACACCTCATGAACTGTGTTAG